TGTACCTCCACTGCGCGCAAACCCTAAACCCTAAACCCTAAACCCTAAACCCTGAATAGGTCTGCTGCAAGAAGGGAGAAAACTTCTCAAAAATGCTACGCTATTTAGGGTTTACAACTTAGGGTTTAGGGTTTGGGGTTTAGGGTTTATTGCTAAGCGGTTACGGCATGCGGTCTAGGGTTTATAATTTAGGGTTTAGGGTTTAGGGTTTAGGGTTTACTGCTAGAGAATTGAAAAGGCCTACCCGGACGCGCTAGCAAGAGAACACCGGGCTCGAGCAGCAACGCCGATTAGCTGCAGCAACCCCCAAACCCTAAACCCTAAACCCTAAACCCTCGTTCCCTGCTGAATACGGCATAGTGGTAGATGTACGATGCTTTGTCCACCTCGATGCATTTTATCGTTTTTAGGGTTTAGGGTTTAGGGTTTAGGGTTTGGGGGTTTAGGGTTTAGGGTTTAGGGTTTACGGTGGTTTGGTAGTGTAATTCGAGTTGTCTGAGTTCTTTTTCTCTGTCTCCTAACTGCAGCAAGCGGTCGAGGTGTCTGCCCAAGACAGCAATTAAAGAGTTCTCTAAGGAAGTTAAGTTATTCGGGAGACAGTCTGTCTCTTCTTGCTGCAGCAGCTGCTGCAAGCTAAACCACGAAACATCTTTTAATGAGCCCCCTCCAGCAGCAAAAGCTAAGCGAGACAAAAACCCTTGCACTTCTCCTTCGCTTAAACCCTAGCATACACACACATTCACCCTAAACCCTAAACCCTAAACCCTAAACCCTTAACCCTTAACGCGCAATAATAATCTCCATATCCTACAAACCCTAAGCCCTAAACAAAAATACGCAGTAAACTCTAAACTATCAATATACAAACTATACAAACCCTAAACCCTAAACCCTAAACCCTAGATCTCGTTAGTTGCTATTATATATAAAACCCTAGCTGAGGTATACAAACCCCAAACCCCCTCAACTCTAACAGACGCATAAACCCTAAACCCCCCTAAACCCTAATACAGCAGCGGAAACCGTAGACCTCAACTAAAACCTAACAAATGAATAAACCCTAAACCCTAAACCCTAAACACTAAACCCCACAAGCAAGGAGAAAGAAGAAGGGGCGGCTACCATGGGCTGCTGCTAATGCAAGGGCTAATAAAGGTTTAGGGTTTAGGGTTTAGGGTTTAGGGTTTTGATGATAGATACGGGTGGGAGGTAGATTCTATCGATTGGCGGTTGGCCATCGAATGTTTCCTCTCCATACTGCAGGGCAGGGTTTGCTGCTGCTGCAGCTGCTGCTGTTGTAGTTGCTGCTGCTGCTGCTGCTGCTGTTCCTGCTGCTGCGGAGACACTCGGATCTGCCCAGTGAGGCACCACACGCGCAGGTGTCTCCTGAAGCTGCTTGCGTCTCCACCCCACACCCAAACGACCCCCGCCAGTGCAGCCCCACGCGTACAGCTCCCCGTTCCTGTACAAACCCTAAACCCTAAACCCTAAACCCTAAACCCTAAATGCTAAACCCTAAACACTAAACCCTAAAGCCTAGTGTTTGTTCCATAACACTTCTTAATTCAATACAGACAAAAGCTATCATGATGATGATGGTGATGATGATAATGCGTAGAGCAGCAGCAGCAGCAGCAGCAGTCCAGCAGCAGCAGCAGCAACACTCCAGCAGCAGCATCACAAACAATACAAGCAGCAAAAGCCCCATCCGCAGTCCCATCAACAGCAGCAGCAGCAGCAGAAGCAGCAGAAGCAGCAGGAGCAGCAGCAGCAGAAGTATTTACCCTGCCATCATCTGTAACAGCAAGAAAGTGATCAGCCGAAGCAGCAACAGAGGAGACAGCTGGAACACCTTGAGGGCCTTCAAGTTGAAGAAAAAGTTTAGGCGTTAATATATCTTGTGCCGAGCAGAGACACTCCGACTTACCCCACACCCACAGTTCTCCGGCAGCAGATATGCATGCAGACGCACTCCCTCCTGCTGCTATCTCTCTAACCTGCATGAACACATAAACTTATTTATTTATTTATTTATTTATTTATTTATTTATTTATTTGTTTAATAATAATAGGGCAAATGGTTTATTAATAAACAATAAACAAACAAGTTGCAGTTAAACGAAGGAAATAAATAAACAAATTAAATTAATAATAAATTTTTTTGCTCAACTACCACCAACAACAGCAGCAACAGCAGCAGCAAAAGGAGTAGCAGCAGCAGCAAGAGGAGTAGCAGCAGCAGCAAGAAAAGTAGCAGCAGCAGCACCACCACCAGCAACAGCAGCAGCAACAGTAGCAGTAGCACCACCACCACTACTACCAGCAACAGCAGCAGCACGAGCAGCAGCAGCAGCAGCAGCAGCAGCAGCAGCAGCAGCAGCAGCAGGAAGAGGAGAGGGGTGCACCTGAACATTAGTAGGAAATTTAACATTTGCAGGTGTATATACATTGGCTGAGCTCCCTAAGCCCAGACGCCCATAGAAACCCGCACCCCACGAATAAAGATAACCGCGAATTGTTAAAGCTAAGACGTGACTCTGGCCTAAAAAGGAGACAAAAAGGAGACAGAAAGGAGACAGAAAGGAGACATATAGAGACAGGCAGGAACGATAGAGAAAGGGGACAAAAAGGAGACAAAAAGGAGACAAAAGGAGACAAAAGGAGACAGAAAGAAGACAGAAAGGAGACACATAGAGACAGGCAGGAAGGATGGAGAAAGGGGACAAAAAGGAGACAAAACGAGACAGAAAGGAGACAAATAGAGACAAATAGAGACAAATAGAGACAAATAGAGACAAATAGAGACAAATAGAGACAAATGTTAAATGTAACCCCGAGTAGTTAAATAGACGGAGGGGAAGGAGACAAAAAGGAGACAAAAAGGAGACAGAGAAGAGACAAAAATGAGACAGACAAAATGAGACAGATAAAAGAAGACAGACAAAAGGATACAGATAAAAGAAGACAGACAAAAGGAGACAGATAAAAGGAGACAGATAAAAGGAGCAGATAAAAGGAGGAGACAAACAAAGAAAAAGAAGAGACATAATATATTTGTATCTTACCGAGTGCAACCTTCGTGACAGGAGAAGAGATAGAGACAGCGTGGGGTGTACAGACAGCTCCACTAAGGAGCTTCTCGCCTAGACCCAGTCTACCGCTCTCTGCTGAACCCCACATATATAACTGACCTGCTTGCTGGGTGTCTTGAAACCCTGCTGGTGCTGCTGTTGGTGCTGCAGCAGGTGCTCCTGCTGCTGCAGCAGGTGCTGCTGCTGCAGTAATATCTGTATCTTTAATACCCGCTGTGATGCATGCGCTGTAGTTGGAAGCAGCAAAGACATCGATAGCATTACGAAGTGCAGATACACCCTGAGGTGTATAGGCAGGTCTAGTATTTCCTAAACCTAACTGGCCGTAAGTATTATCACCCCAAGCAAAGACAGCACCATGAAGAATAATAATAAGACAATGATTGTCTCCGCATGCAATCTGTTTTACAGGGAGAGAGAAGCAATCTAATAAGAAGGGTTCGTACTGCTCTTCTGTCTCCTCAGCTCCTACACCTAGCTGCCCTTTATCATTATTACCCCACACCCACATACAGCCTGCAGATGTTAATGCTGCTGTATGTTGAGCTCCGCATGCAACGTTGCACAGACTCCAAGCGCTCGGTCCTGCTGCTGCTGCTGCTGTTGCTGCACCAAGTGTATCCCCAGCACCAGCACCAGCAGCAGCAGCAGCAGCAGCAGCAGCAGGTAAATATATATCTCCAATGCGACCGGGCCCCACATGTGCAGCTAACTGAATTCTTAGATCTGCAACAAACATTTTATTTCTAAGTTCGTTAACAAAAACAGGATAAGGTTGATTGCTGGTGCTGCTGCTGCTGCTGCTGCTGCTGCTGCTGATGCCTAGTCTGCTGTTGCTGCCAACCCCCCAACATAATATGTCTCCTTGCACAGTAACTGCAGCAGAATGATATGGTGCTGCTGCTACCTGCAGCACAGGAGACTCTAAGCTGCGCACCTGCTGCGGCTGAGGAGACACACCCCCCGTGCTGCTGTCTATAAACCCTAATCCTAGCCCGAAGCCAGACCCCCAAGCATATAAACCTCCTGCTGCAGATACAGCTAAAGTATGAAATGCTCCGCATGCAATCTGCAGCAAACAAACACACAAACAACACATGCAATATGCAACAGCAGCAGCAGCAGCAGCAACAGCAGCAACAGCAGCAGCAAGAGCTACGGGGCAGGAGAAAGAGCAGCAGCAGCAACAGCAACAGCAGCAGCAGCAACAGCATAAAGCTCTATGAACCCCTTAAGTAAAGTTAAGGGTAGCATAATAGAGCATGATGAAGAGCAGCAGCGCAGCAGATGAACAGCAACAACAGCAGCAAGTGAAGAGCAGCAGCAAATGCTGCTAGAATGTAGTTTTGATATATATATATATATAGACACTAACCTGAATAATAGGTATACCCCCTAGCGTCTCTATTAAGCGTGGTGTATGAGCATCTGCTTCGTCTCCATGTCCTAACTTATAAAATGCGCCTCTGCCCCAGGTGTATGCGCGGCCTGATCTATCTACTGCAGCACTATGACTCTCTCCTGCAGCAACAAATGTTATTTGCTGCTGCAGCAAACCCTCTATCAATGTCGGCTCCAAGGCCCCTCGAGTGTGTCCTAAGCCTAAACGTCCCCCTGCTGAACTCATGCACAAACAGAGACACTTAAGGAGACACCTAAGGAGACAGCTGAGGAGACAGCTGAGGAGACAGTCAAGGAGACAGTTAGGGAGACAGGGAGGGTGATAGAGAAGGAGACAGAGAAGGAGATAGTTGAGGAGACAGTTGAGGAGACAGTTGAGGAGACACTTAAGGAGACAGGCAAGGAGACAATTAAGGAGACAGTTAAGAAGATAGAAGGGAGATGGAGGAGACAGAAGAAAAGGAGACAAACAAAGGAGAGGGAGATTAAAGGTAAGGAGACAGCTAA